GGAACTTTTTTTTTTAAACGATTTCTTTTTTGTTAACAAATTCAAAAATGATTAAACAAATTCGGGAAAAATTGTCTCGCAAATGTATACTCAAATGATTGAGAATCGTCTGAAACGTGGAGATTTATTAGGCCCTCGGAACTTTTTTTTTAAACGATATCTTTTTTGTTGACACATTCAAAAATGATTAAACAAATTCGGGAGAAATAGAGCCGTTGAAAAAAAAGGTTCCGAGGGACCCATAAATCTCGACGTTTCGGGTGATTCCCAATCGTTTGAATATATATTTATGAGAAAATTTTTCCCGAATTTGTTCAAACTTTTTTTAATTTGTTAACAAAAAAGATATCGTTTAAAAAAAAAAGTTCCGAGGGACCAATAAATCTCCACGTTTCAGACGATTCTCAATCGTTTGAATATATATTTGCGAGACAATTTTTCCCCAATTTGTTCAATCATTTTTGAAATTGTTAACAAAAAGGATAACGATTAAAAAAACAAGTTCTGAGGGACCCATAAATCTCCACGTTTCAGACGATTCTCAATCGTTTGAGTATACATTTGCGAGACAATTTTTCCCGAATTTGTTTAGTCATTTTTCAATTTGTTAACAAAAATAGAGCCGTTTAAAAATAACAGTTCCTAGGGACCAATAAAGCTCGACGTTTCAGGCGATTCCCAATCGTTTGAATATATATTTGCGAGACAATTTTTCCCGAATTTGTATAATCACTTTTGAATTTCTTAAGAAAAAAGAAATCGTTTAAAAAAAAAAGTTCCGAGGGACTAAAAAATCTCCACGTTTCAGACGATTCTCAATCGTTTGAATATACATTTGCGAGATAATTTTTCCCCAATTTGTAAAAACTTTTTTCAATTTGTTAACAAAAAAGATATCGTTCAAAAAAAAAAGTTCTGAGGGACCCATAAATCTCCACGTTTCACACGATTGTCAATCGTTTGAATATATATTTGCGAGACAATTTTTCCCCAATTTGTTTAATCATTTTTGAAATTGTTAACAAAAAAGATATCGTTTAAAAAAAAAAGTTC